CCAACAATCGAGTAATCATGCCGAGACGACAAGAGAAGAACATCTTTTCACCGATGCCCAGTGCGCATGCTTGTAAGGGCTAGGAACTGCGAATGTGGAAGCGAGTACATCATATTGGCCGCTATACTCGAGTCGAGATGCATCGGGAAAGAGTGAGGATGCCCGCAGACGGACAAAGAATGAATCAAGAGCTGTTCTCGAAACTTACGCCGACGCGGTCGTCAACGCCTGAAGACGTCGAAAGTCTCATCGGATGACCGTAATCTGCCCAGGCGTGTGTAAAAGTAGAGCCTGACTCAGTCCGACTGGCGCATGAGGGAAGCTCAAATGCTTCCATTTTAGCGCCGCGTCACTCCACGCAGAATGGTTGCCAGAATGGGTTGCTTGGCCAACGCACAGCAGCGAAAGACGGTGATTCTGACAAAGGAGCCTCGGGACACATTTCGGGGCGACCGTCTAGTTTTGTCGCAGGCCGGGCTAGGACAAGCTGAGTCATGCTGAATTGACGCAATCACCACCAGTACTACTACTGTTGCTGCTGCTGCTGGTGCACTCGCCGAGGCCCGAGCCTAATTGGGCAAGATTGAGTGCTCGTGAAAGCGGCTGTTTCGGTTGCGGCAGCGGAGGTGGCTCTGACGAGGCACCGAGACAGGCCACAGACGAACAAGCGGCCAAATGTGACGGCTTCACATGCTTCGTATGTGCGACTTGTGCGGTGTCGATAGTTCGGGTCAGGCGTTGCTGCAATTGGCTGGCCTGAGCTGCAGGCGGTATCGATTGCATCAGCCAGCAGCTCAGCGCAGGCGTGTTCAAATGTCAGGTCAAGACATGAGGCCAGACGATTCGGCGGAAATGCGACAGTGCGAAGAGGCGAAATGAGGCCAAACTGGTCGGGCAGGTTGGGCTGTCAACTTTTGAGAACGAATGACTAGCACAAACGGCAGAGTTGAATGACTAGAATGGCTGGGAGACGCAGCTTCAATTTGTTTGAACCTGATCTTCAAGGCCAGGCTTACGCGGAGGCGAAACTGGTCAGGGTCTCGAAGACTGACTGCCTTAAAACTTTGAGGTGGCTCGACTTTAAGAGGCCGCTTTTCCGGCTGTAATGGTTTTGTTAATTGGCGACGTCTGCATTTAACCTTGCAAGATATGGATTAGTAGACCTCTTTCTGATGATGCAATGCGAGTAGAAGTTTTCATGTTTCGAATTCTATTTCTAACCATAGTAACCAAACTGAGGCTGTGGTTCTGAGAGCAGAGACCGTGGAGTGTAAAGCTTGCTGATGGAAATTATTATCTCCTGAAGATGGTTTGCGTAACGAGCAGACAAACGGAGGCTGTGCTATTTTTTACCGCCTTGATGATATATTCTCTCTGGTGGGAGGTGATCATGCTTAGTTGATGGATTTAAAGAGAGAGCATGTTGATCCACTGGCAAAGAGTATTGGAACGATGATTCTATTCAGCCTAGGTTGTGTGGGAGAGCGTCCACACAACGAGGTGAATAAGTCACACTCTGCCGGCCGGTTGTAAATGGCCTTTCTCTTCGAAAGCTATCCACACCCACGACAGACTACGGTTTTAGCTCCTCCTTCGTCTCGAC